CATAAAAAAGCTTTACATAACTTAACAGCTGCTTTCTAAATAAGAGGTAGGTGGATACCTAAAGATACAGGTGGGCACTTCTGAAATGTCCCTTAGGACATAAGTTGCACTGATTTTAAATTTGTATGTATTTATTTATCCTCATAGATCTCCTGTAAGGTAGGTTTGCATGACACGGGTAGGAAGCAGAGGCACAGGAGGAACGAAACAAAAATGGTATCATAGGTTCATAATAGTTTTGGGGGTGTTTTTTTTGTAAGTGTGGTAACTTTTAGAACTAGTAGGTTAGAGAAATCTGAGGTGGGGGGGAATCACGTGTTATATTATATTAAATAGAATAGACTGCCCTTGATGCTTTTTGTTTTTCACACAGTAATTTTCTTTTCTATTGCCCTTTATTCTCTTCCACCTTCTTTATTTTTGTACCATTTTATGTCTCTCTCTCTCTCTGGTTCCTGTAATCCAATTACTAGTGCTGCTTATGCCTGACTCTTAATTTCTTTGCCTGCTTATCCCTTTTGCAGTGTTTCCTCTCTCTCCTGCTACTATGTTTTTATTTCTTTCATTCTTGCATTTTACAGGTATTATTGCTATTTTTTAAATAAATTGTAAATACTTTAACAATTCACTATTGTTTCCTAGGTAATGGCTTGATATGCCAAACAGAAACAAACTACTATGAAAACTATTAATTGAACTTTAGAGAGAAATATATATGCCACTACAAAATTATGTCCTTCATATAAGTAACTAGTTAAGGCTATTGCTGATCCTAGTAACTCACACAGAGATCAACAAAAGTTAAATGAGACGCCACATTCAGACCACATTCTTGCACACCCATGAGATGCTGCTGCGCTTTGAACATGTACAACTGTGTGTTAAGTACAGCTTGACACACTGTTTCCCCAGCGAGACTTTGTCTTTTGAACAGTATTTTAATTGGTTGCTACAGAAGTTACAGCACTGGATCCTCAAATATCCCCAAGTTCCTGCCCAGTAATGTGAGGCTGGAGAGGAGGCAGAGGTGATTCAGAGTCATTTTTTTGTGTCCCCAGTCATCAGGCTAACTGTACTGAGCCAGCTCCTGGTGCAAGTTAGAACAGTGAAAGGCTGGACGAAGGTCTTCTGCCTTGCCACTGGCTTACAAGAGACAGGGTGCCATACTGTGCAGTCCAGCCATAATGCTCGCTTACCCTGTCCTTCCCTCTACACAGAGCCATGTATGCCAGCACCATGTGAGGTGGGTATTATCCTTGGGCTGGGGTTCTCCAGCTGCCTGGTAGCAGCACAGTAGGATCTAAGTCTTACTATAGCACCCAGTCTACAGTCTCAGCACAGGCTGCTGTTCAGTGCAGATTTACAAAAGTGGTGGTATGTAATAGTGAGATACGTGGGATTTTAGAGTCCCCAGAGCCTGGGGATCTCTGTGATGGGGATTGTGCACTGGCTGAGTTATGTGAACTAGAGGGTTGGGGGCACTGTAGGCCTGTTTCAAGGGCACAGAAGTGGCATTTATTAAGTGACCAAGTGACTGTTTTGGTAGATGGAGGTCCCTTTTGTCTGACTTCCAAGTCTGCGTTCTTGCTTGGCTTTCCTACCTAGCTTTGGGAATCCCTGGGGTATCAAACCAATCAATTAAACATTTGGTCTTTAAAGCAGAAGTATATTTAGCAAAACTTTGTTTAGGGGATTCCTATCTCATGTACATTTGTTACTTCTAAGCTGTATAACATTAGGTGATGATAACTGTTCTATTAAACCTTTCTCACAGATTTACACTGAGTTTGCTGCCCTGATCTTCGATCTGAGTGACCTTTTCCAGTGAGCCTCTGGGTGCACTGTCTGTATACGTGAGCGTAACAGCTTCAGCCCTGAGACTGGGTGACAGCTCTCATTAAGCTCTTGCTCACGGACATTCACCAGGCTGCTGCTGTGTCTCAGTCCATTGATTTTTGGGGAGCATGAAGTCTCTGGAATCCAAATAGTCCTGGCGTCACCCTTAGCTCAGGGTCTCTAGGAATTTCACATGGTGTACACCCTCTTTCTAGCTTCCCATTTGAGAGCTGGAACCCAGTGATGATCCCTTAGAGAAGTGGCTCTCAACTTTTCTGGACTTGAGGTACCCTTTGTTTGATTTGAGGAAACCCTTTGTAACTTGTGCTTGAGCCAGCACCCTCTTTTAAGAACTAGTACAGGGGTTGTCAACCGGGGGTACGTGTATCCCTGGGTGTACTTTGAAAGGTCCCAGGGTGTATATGGGGGCGGGCAGGGATGGAGCACTGCCACCCCCGCTGCTGCCTCGCAGGAGCAGGGCCAGAATGAAAGCAGGGCTGCACAGACTCCACTGCTTGCCACCCCCCGCCCCCAGGGTACACTTATTAAAAAGGGGGCCTCCAGGGCTTGAAAACCCGTGAACTATTATATGTATTCCAATGCTTACCTCCTTCCAGAAGGGCTGGGCTGTGGGGGCAGGGGAGCAGTCAGGCAGGGAGGAGCTGGCATTTATCTCCTCATACCTTCTTATCTCCTCACACCTTGGGGCACCCTTCAAGAAAAATCTTGGAGCACCCCAGGGTGGTCTGCACCCTAATTAAGAATCACTGTCTTAGAATCTCCTGTGGCTTAAACATACCCTGTTGCACCTCTAGCTGTGTGGATGTTTCAGGGCTAAAGTTTAATTTTTCAGGAACATTAAGTGGGCACCCAGGGAGACTTTGTGTACACTTTCTGAAGGCATCATTACTCTTTGGTTAATACCACAAGAATTGCACAATTCCAGGCAAAATAATTAGACTTGCATACATTACTCTTTGTTCCCCACATTAGAGCCCTTTTTGACTTGGAGTCAAGTCGTCTGTGACGTGCTAAGATTCTTCTCTACATCTCATGTTTTTAGAGGAAAGTTTTTCTAAAGCTGTCTGAGTAAAGGAGAGTGGATTCCCTCTGCAGAGGGCAATCTCCCAGCACCATAAAACCATTCTCAGTTGCTACAGGGCTCACTGTTGGCTGGCAGAGAGGCATGTTTAGGTGACTTCAGTATAACTCCACTGTGCTGCCCCAGGGGGGTCAGGTTGCTGTTTGGGCAGCTTTGAGTTTGAGCTACTGTTCTTGCTCCTACCCTTTTCTTCACAAGAGTGATAGGGGCTTGGGGCAGGGGAACTCGTGCTTGGGACCAGCCTTGTTTTTTTTAAGGGAGTGTGGGTGTAATGGGAGAAAACAGCTTGGAGCAATGCTTTTTTAAATACAAAGGGAGGTATGGAGCCTCTTTGCCTGCAAAGGTTGCTGAGGACCTGCTGCATATTCTCTCCTGTTAGTGAAGAATGTCACAGCCCTGTTTTCTTTGCCCTGACCCCTGCTTTTACCAACAGCTGCAGGTGTTCGGGGTCTTCCTCTCTGAGTGTTTTTCTCTGTTCTTTGGATTGGAGGTGAATGAGCTTGCTGTCTCCCACTTCGTCTTTCTAATTAGCTGCTGTGACCCCCAGGGTCTGACAAAAGACTGAGGTCTGCAACGCTGGAGGCAGCAGCACTGAGACCAAGAGAAGGAACTCGGGCAGCAGGGAAGGAAGACTACACTGTAGTGCTGAGGGAGCAGCATGAAACTGGTGGTACCTCCTTGGGGTCTGGGGAAAGACCTCAGGACTGTGAGCTGCCCTGTATGAATTGCATTTATGAATGAGTTTTGAGGACTGGTTTACTTTGATTCCTTTGTGGCAAGGGCAGTGTCCACTGGCTTCTTAAACTTGTTTGAGGGTCAGTGGGTGCTGTCCAGTGTGCTCTGCCAGGTGCCGTCCCCTGGCACACTAGTTATTAACCTCTGACCTTCACTCCTGTCCCTGTTTTGTTACTATTTGTCCCATTATAGTCTATTCTTAATTTAGGGTCTGGAAGAGTGGGTCTAAAGGCGCTGTTTAGTTTACATAGATAAATAGCACAGTGCAAACATCTTCCTAACATATTTAAGTTCTGAGCGGGCCTACTGAAGCCACATAGTTGGCACAGTAATGAAACATTTCCTTATCAGTTGCACAGGGACTCTCTGTTTTTAAAAGTCAGTGAATAGGAGTGCATGAGGGCTGTGCAAGAATGGTTGATTGCCCATTCTGAGGCAGGACCTCTCTGCATTTGCAAGAAGGACTCTATCTTTGAAAATATCGGAATATAAAAAAGGGGGACTGAGGATGGGGAATGAGCACTGGCAGTGTGGAATGGCAACCAGAAAGGGATTCAAGGAAGATGAAATTAAAACCGTTGGCCAGAACCTGGAATAGGCTTCCCAGAGAGGTGGTGCTCTCACCTTCCCTGGAGATCTTCAAGAGGAGACTGGATAGGCACCTGGCTGGGGTCTCATGACCCCTGCCACCCCCAGCACTCCTTCCTGCCCATGGTAGGGGGTCAGACTCAATGATCTGTCTAGGTCCCTTCCAACTCATGATTCTATGATCCTATGATCTGTGAAGGAGTACCTGTGGGTACAACTGGGGTTACAGGAATCTTGGAAAATGAAGATATGCAAAAAGTTGTCAGTCCAGTAGACCTTCTAACTGAGCAGTTACGTTGTGTCCAATACCAGTGGCTTGTTAGTGGTGACAAAGTAGCCCACTCTGTTCAGCGTGGAAACCTTTACTTAAGTTACAGTAGAGGCATTAAAATAGCAATATGGAGTGACTACTGTGTATCCTGAGTGCTGTGTTGCAGTTATTGCCCTCCAAATGGCAGTCCTTTAAAAACAATACAGTGAAGATCCAGGACACAAGGCTTAATTGTAGTCTCAAAGGTTTTTTAAAACCTAGGAGAATTGGAGAGAGGCCCATATTTTCAGGCAGGGGGCCTGATGATGACGGGGCGGGTGGAGATATTATACTTAATTCTGCACTGTTGAAGTAGGCCAGGGCTGCCCAACTGACAGGCTGTGCATGTGGCTCATGCAGGGTTTAGTCAGTCCATGGGCTCCTACCTCCACATCACTCCTCCCCTTGTTCCCCTTCCTGCTGCTGTTGCCGCAGCTGGCCAGAGGCTGCAGGCTCCCATGCCCTCTGCCAGATTCAGCTTCCTGCCCACACAGCTGGGGCAGGGTTGCACAGCTGGAGCCCGGGAGCCCACAGCCCACACGGCCATGGGAGCTGGGGGCCTGTGGCTCGTGTGTGCTCTGAAGCTGGACAGGCTATAATAACTTGATCCAGGAAAGCAGTGAATTTTAGCTGGTTTATGCTATTTGTCTGCCATCTATCAATATTGTCAGAACTAGCAGAACATTTCTTTATAGAGTTTCTCGCCGGCAGCTTGAAAGCTGTTTTTTTTTTCGTAAGGGATTTTAATGGTTTAGTTGCAAGGATTCATAGTTAGACACACAAAGGGTTTACATGTAGTGAACCTTACATATGTTTGTGAGCTGTGTTACAGGACATAAAATGGGCACAGCTGAAAATATGGTTCCAGGTCTCCAATAGCACAAAATAATAAAAAATTAGAGTCCAAAGTTAAACACTTGACAGTTATGAATTTTAGACCTAAGTTCGTGATGCAGATCTCATAACTAAAGGCTTTAATATGCAAATATGCCAGGAGGCAGTTATGGTTGAGCACCCAACCTGAGCTTTAAAATTTCTCATGTTTACAAGGTGAACTTGTTCATTCTGAACATTATTAGTTTATTAACCCAAAATAAAGTTTTTTAGAGAGAGAGATGCTTCAGGATCTTTTCTGCTATATTTCCAAAACACTAAAGGAGAGTTTTTCAGGTTAATGAATAATTATGCAACAGTCATTTGTGGAAAATCTATCAGTTCAACAGGTGAATTCTTGAGAGAGTTTGAGAGATAATAAGGAATGATCGGAGCAGTTGAAACCATACCTACAGTGGTATTTACTCAGTTTTCAGACATGTGCCGTGATACACCCCAGCTATATATTTTTGGCTTATGTTTTGCAATTATTTCCAATGTTTAATATCTGCATGTTCATGATAGCAGAGGAATTTGATCCATACTACAGCTTGTTTGGAATCCAGGACTTTTGTTATAGTGTAAAACACTGACAAAAGTTGTTTTCAATCCATGCAAATTCTGGCACAGCAGAAGTTCTTAGCAGAGCCCTACATTGTTTTTTTTGCAGTTCAGACAAAAAAGAAAACCTTATTTGAACCAAATACTGTAATGCTAAAAAGAGAGAGATCTAAGCACATAATGTAATTCAGAGCGGAAAACAAATAAACACGAATTGTACTTTTGATGTTCATTCTGTTTTTCCCTCTGGTCATTTTCCTGCAACCTCATTTAATTTCTCATCTTTTCCAGTATTCTTCTCCATTTTTTTCCTATTTTTGGATTCTGCTTTTGAAACTTATTTTTGTTTCCCCTCTTTCTCTTAATGTTTTAAATATTTTGTGGGTTTTCTTGTTCTATATTATTCTTTATTTTAATCCTTTTACACATTACTCAACATCTTCTCATGTTTTTATTTTTATAGAAGGGGCATATTTGTATCTTAAAGGGTTTCTTTTCAATCCCTTTTAAAGGAAACGTTGGCTCAGAGCCAGCATTAGTTCCAAACAGAGCTGAGGTAGTGTGCTATTTGTGTCTTGCTGCCAGGCTAGTGCTGCAGTGGATATGCTGCATCCTGCAACACCCAACATCTATCACTCCTGCAGACTGCCAACTGGAATCCTAGATTTAAGCTTGACAGCATCCAGGCCAATGAATTTTCAGAGCATGCCTCCTTAGGCTGCCCTGTTTTCTGATTGTGCTTACCACCTTGTTTGCTGTCTCTTTTGCTTATGGTTTGGTAAAATGGGAAAAGAATTGTGACAGCATGAGGTAAGGGAAGGAACCCTTTGTGTAAAGGACACCATCTTTATAAACCTTATTTTCTAATGCCTTTCAGATTTCTTGCAGAATTGAAACGGTGGTATAATGCAGAAATCTAATGTGCCAATCTTTCGTGTCATGCAGAGGGTACGTATTTGCATTCCAGCCTCATGAGGATTTGGATGTATTGTTAGACCTCAGTGCAAAAAGCAAACAGTCCCAGAGCTGAGATCTCTCCAGAAATCATTCAGTTAGCTTTCACTTAGTATCCTTTAGTTGGGATGGAGAGCATGGGGCTTTGAGGCAAACCCATATTACAAAAACCTTCAGTGATATTGCAGTCCCAAAGATATGTGCTGTACCTGAGTGGATTTCTTTGCTGTTTGAAAGGGGTGGGCATTGCCAAATAGCTGAAATTTCTGCTGCAGGATCACAAGAGGGCACCACAGAGTAAATTTCAAAGTTTGAGCCAATGCAGATGATAAACCCATTGACTTTCATTTCTAGCAGTAGCAAAAAAGAAAATGACAGCTTCTGCATTTAAGCTGAAAATAAATGTTTCAGAATAGGAATGCTGTTTCTCCTATTTCATGACTTAGTTATAAGTAGGCTTTCTAGGAAGAACAAGAAAAGTTAGTCTTTGTATGGCTATAATCTTGCAGTGCAAACCAGGTACTTGGAAATAAGAAAACTTGTGTTTTAATACAGGAAGCAGCACAGGATGATTGTTTACAATGGTGTTTGGGTTTGTAGTGTATATGGAAGGATTCCTCTAGTTGTTTTGCTGTTTCTGTGTTTATATAAGCCATGATGTTTCTGAATGTGCACACAGCCTTGAACTTAATTATAATTTGTGTACAGTAAATACTGGCTAATTGATCTCTCCAAGAGAAATGCAAACCATGACAAACTATCCAGTAGTAACCAATTATCAGGACTTAATCCCGGGGAAATGGGGGAGGAAATTGGAACAATGGCAAGTTATCCAATAGGTGCATTAATCAGAGTTTAGTGTACAGAATAATGAGCCATTTGAAGGCAAATTTCTCCTGCATTTATATGAAAATGGTATTGCGAGCTCAGTAAACAGAGGTGGTTAGTTCTGTTAGTCTGAAGTTGGGAAGAGGGCAGGGTGGATTTGCACCTTGTAGATTAAATAAATCAGTGTTGTGAAGTGTAACAAACATTATTGTCTGGATTTGCCGCAGTTGCATTCTTTTCCAAGGCCAAAATCAGTTGGTGGAGTTGATTCCTAAAACTAGCAGATCCATCTACGCATGGAACAGAATATTTCAATAATGATTTTAACAGTACTCAATAATAAAGTTACCTAGTGCCAAGAGTTCCTTGGCCTTTTTTTTTTTTTTTTTTTGGCCCCAGGTATAGCTTTGATAGTTTCATAGTTAGTAGGGTCGGAAGGGACCTGAGCATATCATCTAGTCCGACCCCCTGCCATGGCAGGAAAGAGTACTGGGGTCAAACGACCCTGGCAAGGTGATTGTCAAGCCTTGTCTTAAAGACCCCCAGGGTAGGAGCCAACACCACTTCTCTTGGAAGTTGGTTCCAGATCCTAGCCGCCCTGACAGTGAAATCGTGCCTCCTGATGTCTAATCTGAATTGACCCTCTGCCAGCTTGTGACCGTTATTTCTAGTCATTCCTGGTAGTGCTCGGGGGAACAGGGACTCCCCCAGTGCCTGCTGGTCCCCTCTGACTAGTTTGTAACAGGCCACTAGGTCCCCCCTCAGCCTTCTCTTCTGGAGGCTGAACAGGTTCAAGTCCCATAGTCTGCCCTCGTAGGGCCTGCCCTGCTGCCCCCTGACCATGCGAGCGCCCTCCTCTGGACCCTCTCCATGTTGTCCACATCCCTCCTGAAGTGCGGCGCCCACAACTGGATGCAGTACTCCAGCTGCGGCCTGACCAGTGCCGCATAGAGGGGGAGGATCACCTCACTGGACCTGCTCGAGATGCATCTGTGGATGCATGACAAGGTGCGGTTGGCCTTCCTGATTGCATCCCTACACTGCCGGCCCATATTCATCTTGGCATCAGTGACGACTCCAAGATCCTTTTCTACCTCTGCACTGACGAGCAGGGAGTTCCCCAGCCTGTAGGTATGGTGCTGGTTCTTCCTCCCCAGGTGCAGCACCTTGCACTTGTCAACGAAACCCTTTTAGATACTGCCATTGTGATCTTTTGTAGTTCAGATTCTTTTAGTCCAGCAGAAATTGTCCAGCAGGATAATCAACTGCTGCTCAGATCTATTACACTTGTGTGCCAACGGCATCTTATGTACTGACAGGCCACTTTATAGAAATGCTGCTCAGCCCAGGGCTGGCAACTGAGTAGTAGTATGGTTGACTTCTCTATGTTGAACTGAAGCATGAGAGAATAGTTATCAAAGGGAGATTGTTCCCATAGTTATTACTGAATGTGACTCTCTTAAATTCTGCGGCATCAATCCTTTCTAGTTCAAGTGGTAAATGATACATGTAATAAATAAGAGGTAAGAAATGATGAGCAGGAAAGTGCCTGAGCTGCCCTCATTCTGAGATTGCTGTGGCATGGCCACTGTTACTTTATGCAGAAGCAGGTAAGAGGCCAAAGAGGACTTGTTAGGACATGTTTTTGTTTGCTGTTTATTCAGCTTCTTCTCTGGTGTTTGTCATTCCTCATAGCTTGCCCTTTTTCTGAGCATCTAGGAATTGGGATGTGGGTGTGAAAGTGCTGTAAGACAGACTTCCTATTCCACCCTTTCTCTCAAGTGCTTGTTTGTACCAGGTGGTATGTCATTGTTCTGACTTGGCAGTGTTTACAGAGCTGCAAAGTGGATGACTGTAAAATGACTTGTGAACTGGCTGCCTCCTGTGTGCTTCTCCCTCCAGCCAGGTGTCCCTTCTGCTTGCTCGGGAGTCCCAGGGCCCCTGCCTCACCGATAGCCTTGTTTTGCATTTTCAGACCTGAAAGCGTTTTTTTGCGACTTGAAAAACTGTTCCACTTTGCAAGTAACATCTGCACCCCAAGCCCTTCCCAACAGTTATGTGAGAACGCTTAAATACTGACCCATAAATATTATTTCCTGTTGATTATTTGTGTAGGGAGAGAACAAGCAGTGCTAACACGGGCCAGGTAACCTGGTCTACACTACCCTGTGCTGCCCGCAAAGCCGAGTGCGCCCGCGGAGCCCCGCGGTGTGGGTGGAAGGGAAGAGAAGAGAAGACCGCGGCGCGGGGCGTCCTTCGCAGCGAGGCCTTCCCGGGTGGCGCTGTGGGCCTGGCACGAGCTCTGCACTCGCCACAAGCCGCTTGCGCTGCTCGCGGAGCCCTCCCCGGCGCGGCGCGGCGCAGACGCCTCCTCCTGGCCCGGAGGGCGGTTCCCTGTAATCCGCACGCAGCTAAAGCGAGAGCCGAGGCCGCCTCTGCTGTGGGCGAGGCTAGAGTCGCCCTAGGCCAGGGGCGGGCAAAATGGCGGTGCAGGACTCCGTTTCCCGGCAGCCCCTGCGGCCAGTTTCCATGGAGACCTTGTGGCGGCGCCGTGACAACGCGGGGCCAGTTCCTATGGAGAGCGGCCACAGCGGGGCGCGCGGCTGGGCTGGCAGCTGCTCGGGGCCGGGGCCTTGCGGCGGTGACTAGCGGCCAGTCGCTGGGGCAGAGCCGCTAACCACCATGCCGCAGGAAGGTGATGGGCGGATCGGCGAGCTCTGAGGCGAGAGGCGGGCTCTGATTGGTGCGAGCTCTGAGGGTGGGATTGGCAGCCTCCGATTGGTGCGAGCTCGGGGGTGGGCGGGTCGGTGGGCTCTGACTGGTGTGAGCTCTAAGGGGCGGATTGGTGCGAGCTGGGGGGCGGGCTCTGATTGGCCCGGTCTGCACGGGCTCGGGACTCGGCTCCAGCTCCCGCCGGGGATGCTGGCCGCCGCCGCCGCGTGCGGGAGGGTCGGGGGGATGCGCGGCCGCCCGCCCTCATGGAGCCGAGCGGCGCTGAGGC